GGTAATGAACAGTGCATGCAAGCAACTCAACCAACTGTTGATTCTGACGCATTATCATTGATGGCAATTAGTCAAACTCCTTCGCGATTAGTTGGCTTATTATGATCATTAGCTGTTTATGTATTTTCAACAGTGATAAGGGGACACTCTTTTGGTGCAGAGGCATTACAAGAAACTCTTATTGGCAGATATTTACCAGCTCTATGTTTTTGTAATCTCTCATAACATTCAGAGCCTAACCAAGAACTTTGACATACTTGAATAGTTCGTAAACTACCATAAGTCTGTTGCTGTCTGTTTACAGGAAACTTTCTTATCTTCAGCTATTCATCTTAATTCCAAATTATTTTCTTTATCGCTGTGACAATCTTCGCACGTGTGGTGGTGTTTGTATATATATAAAAAGTAACACTTCTCATAAATGACCTTTATATGGAGATCGCACAATTGAATCAGCAGCATCTTTTATTTCTGTCATTCTATCGGAAAGCGCAGAATGAGCTGAGTCATATGTGACTCGAAAGACAGTCATATCAATCGCTCGTATTTATTTCTGTGAAACTGTCTACTGGGGCTCTATACAGGACAACAACATTGCGCCTGAAGAACAAAACATTGTAAACCTTACATGAAATGATTAGTTGACTAAGAGGTTGTAGGCATGTTCACATAGTGGCGAGAAAATTTATTTGTGCGACGCTTATAAAATAGTCTGTCTAATTCAGATTTTCTCGCTGAGCAAGAATCTGGAATAAGATTTTTAATGCGACATCCTTTTTATAGTAGTAGGATCCAAAAAAGGTCTAAAATGGATCTTAGAATAGGATAGTCCAGCTCAGTGTTTTGCAGTTTTAGATATGGCGTTTTTCGATTTCGAAGCTGAAATTTTGGGGTATGGTAGAGACTAACTAGGCGCAATTTCTGACAAAATTTGGCGTGGTACCGCAGGGTGTTAAAAAATAGCGCTCGCTACACTGATACGATCGGAACTGCAAAGTGATGATTGCTAACCAAAATCAACTATAGGCTCCATGAAAATTGTTCGTATTAAAGACACAAACTATACGGTTTTGTAGCGCATGCTTTTCTCTACAAAACTGGATAGACAAGACTATTTTTCTCAAACGTGTTTCTCACATATTGGGGCTGTATCCGAGCTAGACCGTCAGAGCAGTACAATGCAAGTATATTCGCTAAATATATATAAAGCAAAATTGGTCGACCCTAAGTTACATACCAATCGATGCACAATAAAATTCTCTACGAAACCCTATATTCCATTCGTCTATGTGACATCTACGATCTTATCCGACAGGGTCCTTTTATGCAATATAATTCTTCTATAGCTACTGATGATTCTTCTAAAACCGAGTTATTAGCCGAGTTTCTTGAAACTGACTTTTGTTTCGCCATTATAGCTAGAACCACATTCGCAATTCATTTGATGTAGAACAGAGCGATTTTGAGGTTTTAAACTGGTCGTAACAACAGTGCGGAACTTCTGAGGATAAGAAAAGTAGAGTTTAATCTTCAGCTTTTCTAGTTTTCTCTTTAAGATCTCAATACCAGAAGTATACGGTAAAGAGTTCGGGAACTCATTAGTTTCCTGAAAGGAGGTAAGAAACCTTCCTCTCCCGAAAACGATTCAAAAACAATCTAGACTGCTGCAAAAGGTTTCAGATCATTTTAGTGCGTTCCAGAATGTTCCTGGAAATTGTAAGATTTAAAGTGGTTTTCGACCCTACCAGCATGGATAAGGATTAAAGATTTCTCAAATTTTTGAACGACAGATTAAACTATGAAAAATTATTGAAAATAACTATAGTTGCATTCTTCACCATTGAACAATTTGGCTATAGTGCAAAAAATGAAAATTGCCGTAAATATATGTACATTATAATTCTGTAGATCTGAAGTAATCTGCAATAAATTGTATATAGTTAGAAAGTTTATTGTATCTACTCATCACACATGCTGTCAGAGGAGATGTTCAAAAATCAGAAGAATAGAGTATAGTAATAGATATAGAACGAAAACTTTCTATTGATCGTTTGCTGATCGGTTTGTTTTTCAAAATGTCCTCTATGTAATTATCCTTCTTCATTTCATATGTGAGCTAGGAAATTGTTTTTGAAAAACTCTCCGGTTAAGTTGTAGTACTGACTTTACTCTACATACTGGTATGTTCAGAGTCACTCCACACACTTTGCCTGAAATCTACAGTATTATGATATTATGATTAAATGTTATAAAATTGTCTGATGTATGCATATTTAGGACAACTTTCATTTTTTTACACTATAGTACCTGTTTCTACGAATCACTGCTAAATTATGTATTTTAACAAAATTCTTTTGATTAATTATTACTCAGACGAGCATCAAATTTAATTTCACTTAGCCATAATATGCTGTAATTCTACGAAATATGACAGAAAATATTCAAAACACCGTGGATTCTTTTTTTAATTTTAAAAAACTAAATCAGATCTGCCTAACGTTTCGGAAACTTTCTAAATTTTTCCTAAAGTAAACTTAAATCGAAAAATCCAACGACGTCACGATATAGAAAAACGTTTCTCTATTTTTTGAAACTAACCCAAAATTTCTAGCTCAAAAGGTGACAACTATATCGTGGAAATACGAAGCGCTGCGGTCGCAAGTATAATTTTAAGAAAAACGCGAAACATGTTTACGAAAAGAGAAGTGAGTTTTATCATTTATCTCTAGCTATGAAATTACTAAAACAAAACCATTCGAACAGTTTTCTTTCTCAGAAATTACTGCATTTTACAATGCTCTGAGTTTTGTTAGAAATAACTTTGAAATTTTGTTAACATATACATTTTGCACAGCAAACATTTTTGTACAAAATGAGATGTTTCGCGGCTTTGAGCGAGTCTCTGTAGCCAATGCATAGCAATATTTCGAATGTCCCACCATTAGTTTTTAACTGGTGCACTGAATTTCGATATTCAATGGCGATCACGACATTTTTCAATCGATTCTGTCGAAATGCTTCGACAGACCAACAGAATAAATAAGTCATTTTAGCTAGATAATAAAAAATGTAATAAAGAAAAGAATATAATGGAGAAAACGTACAACAGAATAAGTATAAAAACATAAAAGGAAAGAGAGCCATATTTTTATAACAAAAGTTATATAAGAATAAAAATATCGTTACTTATGGAATCGTTTGCTAGATACAATATACTCAATTACAGTAGTATATGGTTCAATAGTCCCAAGTGTCCACTTTCTAGCGCACTGGTTTGAATGCCGTGAAAAATGGTTTTTGATAGATTTTTGTTTTCTAAAATTTCAGTTTTTTTAAAATGAAAGTACTGATATCGCAAAGTTTCACAAAGAAACAATAATAGCTAAGGTTTTTGATTATGCTGAATCCAATAAGCGTATGCAGAGACATGTATAGCATCTATTTTCGCATGTTCGAATACCTATAGTAGAGTCGTTTTTCCATATGAAAATACAACTGTTTATTGAAATATCGCTTTTAAAATATCTCATACATGTCTGTGCATATGCTCATTGGATTCAGCATACTGAAAAACTTATGTTGAACCATTATTTTCTTTCTTTTAGTATGAAGAGATAAGTAGATATGCACAAGTTAAAAACTAATGGTGGGACATTCGAAATATTGCTATACATTGGCTACAGAGACTCGCTCAAAGCCGCGAAACATCTCATTTTGTACAAAAATGTTTGTTGTGCAAAATGTATATGTTAACAAAATTTCAAAGTTATTTCTAACAAAACTCAGAGCATTGTAAAATGCAGTAATTTCTGAGAAAGAAAACTGTTCGAATAGTTTTGATTTAGTAATTTCATGGCTAGAGATAAATGATAAAACTCACTTCTCTTTTCGTAAACATGTTTTCTTATGAAAATGAAAAATTTATCGTTTATCATCTAATATAAAACATTTAGAAAAACGTAAAACTCTAAACAAGCTTCCAAACTGAGGACGTATCGCAAAAACATTTGTCTCAAAGACGATTTCCCAAAAAGAATCTNTCGAGTCACAGCAGAAAGAAGTCTTCTTATTCAAGGGCATAAGGAATACGATGACACCCTATTGATCTCGAGTAAAGCCACCAAGATGAACCACTAAAAAGGCAAGTCACCAAGGCTTTGGTGTCAGATTCTTAAAGATCGTCCATTATTATCATTATGTCAGAGCATTTGAAGTGAAGAAACAGGAACACCTTGGCACGGTGAAAGCTGAAAATTTTAATATTTATGGCCATTAAAACTGATCAGTATTAATAATATTGATTATGTTGCTTTGCGCCCTTACGGAAGGCTATTTGCGCCAAGTTAGCCTCAGTCCGTTATCATTCGTCTGTTTTCTTTTTGTTTGTTAACTCTTTGTTTATCTCGCAACTATTTGTTTGGTTTTTTAATTGAGAGACTTTCTATGACTGCATAAAAAAGGTCATAGTTATATTGACAAATAAATTTTGACCATACTGGGCTCACAAATCGTCTCTTAAATATTTTTGCTTGTTCGTATTGTGAGCAAAAAACTTTGGATCGGCCAAACTACTCATGGAAATAATTAGCCTTTACTCAGTGATCTTCGTTCAACCACTTTTACTAACTTGTTTTGTAGACTGAAATGTCTGATTTTCAGGACATCTGTTGTAAATGTACGCCCGAAGAGCCCTGTATATCATATTATGAAGAAAAGACGAATATTTGTTTGTGCGGGCAGATGCGAAATAAGCATCTTATTGTAATGGCTTCAACACCAGTTCGACGGAATAGTCGTTTACTATCCAATAATTCATCATCTTTGTTTGAAACAACCGTGTTTTCAAATTTGTAGATTTAACTAAACCGATACCATCAAGGTGAATCAATAAACTTAATAAATTTTGTTTATTTCATTGTTTTAAAAGCTGTTGATAAATTTGTCCACATGGGATGTCATAATGCTCTACTTCATTTGGATTCAGTGTTGAGATTTGTTGTTTATATTGGTGAAATTTCTATCGCTAATCTTGATACAACTACTGATAATAGGGCTGAAAAATTTGTATCATAAATTTGAGCTGTATGTTTAGCTTCAGCTGTTGGACATTTATCACATATAGTTTCTTTGTTGTTAAGCAGTGTTTTACACAATATACAAACAGTGCATTTGTAAAAATAATTTGTAATATTCAAGATTGTTAATAATTCATCCATCGTATTGGGCATTGCATTCGGTTGAGGCAAAATATTATTAATAAGTGACAGAAAACGTTGCGCTTGATGTTTACTAATTTGTGAATCGCGTACTAATTGTAAGAATTCCATGCAAGCATTATTTGTTCCTAACATTGTATAAGAATGTAGTGGTTCATTATTTATACGTGTTGTACAAATCTCGTTATTATCCTCATCATTACTGTTATCGTCTAATTAAGATAAAAAGAACATATTATTGCGATTTTGCGGGTAGTTTGTCCGCCTAAAGGGTGGTCCAGAAGTCCTGAAGCCACTTTTCTATTAAATATTTATATTATATCGACTTGTGTTTAAAAATTTAATATTTAGCTCAAAAGATAGAGAATTTAATTCTCTAGGAAACTGTCGATTTTGTTTTGAAATTATTTTCAAAATTTCAGCAGAATATTCACGATATTAAAATATTCTGATTTTCTAAAACGGCACAGAATAAACTTAACTTCTTTAGCAAAGCGTTGCTGATCTCTCAATTCAACTTACAGATAATTATTTTAACGTCAAAAGATGCAGCATTTTATGTTGTACAATCTGTCACTATTTGTGTTAAATGATACACTATTTTGCGAGAAGGAAAGCCCTATTGACTGACTTACGTACAAAATCCATATTATCGGCATTTTGCCCTCAAACTCAAACTTTAAAGCCATGCATTTTATATCAGAAGATGCAGAATTTCGCACTTTACAAGATCACATACATCAGAAAATAAAATGCTAAATGTAATTTTAAAAGTGTAAAATAATATTAGGTGCTAGTAAAGATGGATCCTCCTAAACTCCTTTGAAACTTTCATGAGAAACTCTTTCGAGAGCCACCTCGACTTAGAAGGATTTTGCTTTACCACATGAAGTATGGAACTTTGTACAGAATTTCGCGCTGAATTTAATGGTGTATTGTGTTTTGATTAATAAATCTTTTTTAATCGCTACGCTAAGATATACGCTAAGAATAACTTTAATTAGATAGGTGATCAATTTTCGTAACGTAACATCTTAGTATTTTTATTTACACAGCGATGATTCAAAATTAATTTCAAAATAAAATCGGCAGTTTCCTAGAGAATTAAATTCTCTATCTTTTGAGCTATATATAAATATTAAATTTTTAAACACAAGTCAATATAGATAGAAATTTAATAGAAAAGTGGCTTCAGGACTTCTGGCCCACCATTTATATGTCCTGCGAAGTTAATAGTTAGTTTCGTCAAGGATACTCGCCCCGATGACCAGATTTGCCTCAAAAGACTAATATGGTGACAAAAAAGGGAGCGGTGATACAGAAAAAAACATACATGTTGAATTATTTTCAGCTGTATCAAATGTATCAATAAGATCAAAATCTATATCACTATATTCCTCTTCCTCTTGGCATTGCGGTTCAGCTGTATCATCTAGGTCGTACGTTTGAGCTAAATAAGAATCAATATCGAATGATGTTGCTGTAGAGTTAACATTTTGACTTGTAAATAAACTTTTTGTTGTATTTATAGCAACAGTTTCTTCATTTTTATTTTGTTTATCAGACAGATTGTTATTTGATATTTTTGTATAATTATCAATGTTGAATGATTCTCGTTTATGCTGTTTATAATGTAATTTCTGATTTTCCAATCTTGTCATTTGTTTTTGACGACCGGCTTCAATATCTTCATCGGTTAAATTATTAATATTCATTGCGTTATGTTTATGATCTACCTATCGGCATTTTGGCGAAAAATACAAAAAAGGAGAAAAATCTTTTAGGTACAATCATAGGTACATTAGCTAGTACGTGATGAGTGTGTATCTGAAGTAATTGGGCGAAAGAAGTGTACGTCGGGCTAGTCTTCTGAGCAGAGCTGCAGTTGATGACTAGTAACGATATGGTGAAAAGCTTGTCAACTGTGTAGAAGATAACGGGCTATTGAAACTGGCACTTTTTAGCACCCTATATCGGTAACGATAGCCACAAGGCGGGTATTCTTCTTTCTTTCCTTTCTTCCCTAAGTATACTTATAATACAAATGTGTACTGCAGTCGAAGAACAGTTAGCTTTCTAGCTCTTTCATTAGATAAAACGTTTTATTCACAATTTCTGTCAAACTTTCGAGCCTATTGAAGCTATCTATCTTGGTTGAATTTGTCATTACTCTAAGGGTCAGAGGTGCAGAATCTACCCATGAGATGGGAAAATTTCCCTCGACAGAAAAAGTTTTTCAAAAAATTCCCCGACATAATCCACGAACAGAATTTCTTTTTGCAATATATTTGCAAAAAGAACTTCCAATTTTTCAAAACATTTCCCCAAATCAATAAGTCTTGCCCCGACAACCGTCGGAACAAACAGGCAGATTCTGCAGCTCTGCTAAGGATACTACGAAAAGACTGAGTATAAAAGGGCGAACTGAGATTTCGGAAAAAGCAGAGCTGTTTAGAGTTGGAAATATTAGAAAGCAATCAAAGAGTTTTAAACCCGAAACTAAGAATCCATAGCACTTTACAAAGCATATAACGATCATGCACAGTGCAGACCAAAATGCAAGAATCTGACGTGAGATGGATAGAGAGAACTTAACCCGAATCGGCGATTCGAACAGCACGAGTCAGTCGGAATTTGTCGAATGACTAGTGCAAAATTCAGTGCGTTTTCTCACTCTTTATGTGCGTTTACTTTGAGATTCTGCGCAGTTTGATTAGCAAACGATGAGTCTGATAATCCTCATTGCTTTCCCACAACTTTGTCAGGCAGGAAAGCAAATGTGGTTAACAAAGCGTGTCTCATAATCTAAGCACGTAAGCGTACAGCACTACTGATCAACTCAAAACGCACAAGCACTAGTTAAAAACGCATCAGAAAGCTCCGCGTGATTGCTCATACACCCGCATTTTAATTTTGTTCGCCATCTTGTGATAAGCGATTCGTTTTTTTTTCTTGCTACCAAGAATGCCCTGACCATTTATAAGAAAGGACGCTAGGGTGATTAAAGGCTACATATATTCGTATAATTAGCGTTTCCACTGAAGGAAACTAAAATTCCAGTTAGCACAAGCGTCTGCTCAATAAAAACTGCATTGTTTTTCGAATATAAGTGTAGATGTAAAAAAGCATGCAAATTTGCTTTCTCGATTATACAACTGTATTGTGGCGACACGTACACATACATTATACTTGTCTAACAAAAAAATATAATTACGAACTCAAAGTACTTCTTTAGTAGAGAAAATCAAAGTCTAGTATCCAAAAAACATTCACTAAATTATTCATCATGGAAACAAACTAATAACTTTGATACTACAACATTCCTATGAAATCCAAATCGTACGATATCCTATAGTAAGAATTTATAGGATTCATACGATAAGATCATGTAGGATTATCGTAGGAAATAATAGGATTCCATAGGATCCTACGATAGGAATCCTATAAGATCTTGTGTTTTATAGGATCTTGTAGGATCTGATAGGATCCTACTAGGATTGTTTGACCTGGGGTGCCTTCATTCCTAGGATATTGAATTTTCAAGATATCCTATGAGGAAATGAGAATAAAACGATCTATGACTATTTTTTGAGAGTAATGGAACATCAATGGCTGAAGCTTTTTCTTTAGTATTATTCTTTAGTTCAAATAGCATCAGGGATCCCAGATCTAAAAGACCGAAATGAGAAAAAAAAGTTCAAAATCAGACAAAAATCAGAAAAACAAGTTGGAAGTCAGAAAAAAAATCAGAACGTTGTTTGTTCTCATACCCAAATGGTATTTTTTTACTGATAACCATTCTTTACGAAAAACACCTTTTATCCTTCGATGAGTGATTGGATTTTGTTTCTGTGTTACTACTACATGCTTTCCCTCTTCAATGGAATTTATATAAGTTCTTTGTTGCTCGAGAATCTTAAAACTGACGATTTGTTTCAGATATTTTTTTTGGATAAAAATACTTCATTAAGTTGCTAGAAAAAATAACACTCTCTGTGGATAGATACCTTTCCCGTATGAGTTTTTGCATGATTCTAGTGTAGATAAAAATTTGTTGTTTTAGGAAACTGGAGTGTTTATTATGGTGTTGAAACTTTGAAAGATAACAATTTTACTTTTTTGATCAAGTACTCATGTAGTTGTCTACCCTAGACCAGACGTCTTAACATTAAGTTGATTTAGACCCAATAAACTAGAAAACACTAATCGTTTGACGAAAGTAGCACTCATAGCTTATTTAATTAAACTTAAATTAAATGAAAATAAAATTACTCGATGTTTCGACTGTCTATACAATCACTTTCAAGAGAACATAATGTACATGAAAATTAAATGAAATAGTATAAGAAAAAGCATGTATACGTTAGCGTCCAAAGTGTAATTCAGTCCAATGTAATATTGACCTAGACCAAGGTCGAATTCCACTTTCAACTAGTCAAAAATCTAATTTAACTTTCGCCTAGAGGTACTTAAGGCCAAAGTCAAATTTTAGTATGAACTAGTCCAAACTAGAATGTAATAAAAAGTGTCAGTCAAGTCCAATATGACACTGGACTGACACTTTTTATTGCATTCTACTTTTTATTACTTCTAATATGACATTGGATTGACTATACCAGGCCAATCTAAGGTTGGACTAGTCTAGAGTACAATTTATAATTAATCAGGTCAATGTGATATTGGCCTAGGCTAATGTGAAATTTAGAATACGCGCAATCGAAAGAATTGATAATTTCTGCTAGAAAATTGGTTGTAATGAAACTTTAGATAATGTTTTTGCACAGAAAAGAATACTGTACAAAAATGTCTTTAATCTTCACGATTTTGACAAGATATGTTTACTTTATGACATTTTGTTGAACATCTAACATTATTACGAACACATTTACAATGTTTACTCTTATAGCCTGCTTTGCAAGAGCAAACTATACCATTAGTATTACCATGAATATATAATTTAAGGCACTGTTATTAATGTTATTTCATCTATACCGCCCACCTTTAACGTTACTAGATCATTTGGAACACTAGAAAAAAAAAACATCATCAAATGGCCACCATGCGTGGATGATACCAAATACACAAGCAAGTTTGACTGTATGTTCTTTTTTTTCTACTATCTTGCAGGGTAATATGCTCGGATCTGTGTTGATTCTATCTACCTTACCTTATCTAGCTTATTAGCTTTAATACCTACAAAATCACCGACCGCCATATGTTTTGATATTTCATTTTTACTGTCATGATATGCTTTAATTTTTTTATTTGCATGGCTGAGATAAGTCTCTACCGCTCGCTTACCTATACTAGTATATCGAGAACCGTCTAACCTGAGATTTTAAGCACTAGTTTCATCAAATTCGCATCATTATTGGCTTGAACATTCGTAATACTTACTGAAGCCGAAGCTTCTATCGATACATTATTACATACGTCGGGAGTTACAGCTATTTCTTCGTCGCGTGACGGTCCATATTCTAAATCGAAATTTTCTACACAACACGGTATACTTATCAATATCATTTATTTTAACATAATCATTACTATCGTCAACAGTTGAAACGTCAAGAGAATTAGGTGGCAAATCAGTTCCATCTGTAATACTTGAGTCTCTGTAATTTCGCCAGTTCCTCTTTTCGCCAACAGCACTTTCGCCATTGGCGAAATTCGTAAGGAAATTCGCCAAAAAAATGAATTTTTTCGACTTACAGATTCACCAATTGACGAACTTCGTTACAAATTTTGCCAGTTATACTTAGTAAACTTATGACTCAACTGAATCAGTAGTATAAATGCATTTTTTTTCAATTTCTTTTTATTTTAAATAAGGGAACAAAATAATTTAAGTGTATTAGTTTATTCACAAATGCACTAACAGAAATGAACTTGTAAGATCTCTATCCTACTATATATATATATGACAGTACGGGGAAAAAACCCATACATATAACTAAGAGAAGAATAACATAGTCAGAATAGACAATGAGTAGTAGAGATACCGAGTACTATAGTTGAGTTGCAACGCAACTCCGTGTAATTGGCGAAGTGGCAGTTTGAAATTCGCCAATTGGCGAAGTTACTGTTGGCGAAAACAGGAATTAGCGACAAGATTTCACCCCTTATACCTTGTTCACTGACACTTTTCCAAAAAATACAATCTATACATGATTTTTGCCCAAATACAATTTCGAAAGGGGTTGTATTAACTCTTCGGAACAAACTAGTATTCATTGAATACACGACAGGTAAAAGACATTCAATCCAAGACGTTGTGTCACGCTGTTGCATGAATTTGTACACGAGTCATAAAACCTAAAGAAATAATTGCTTTTGGCACCACATGATTTTTAATCGGCTTTCGAACCTGACAAGCTACGCAACCTAAAAGAAAAATATCGATTGCTTTTGAAGGAATTCAGCTATAGTGTTGAGAAATCTCATATCGCATCTTATCTCGACCACCGTGACCAGTTTGTTCATGAGCTTCATGAAGTATATGATAAAATGCTTCAAGCATGACAACGGTTTTTCCTGTATCAGCAGCACATAGAGTATAAGTGCGTAAAGTAAAATATTCCAAAGCAAGTAATCTTGTAGGTACTTTTTTCTTGCTAAATCAAAGCACTTTTTCATTTTCTTTTGTTATTACTTTTTTCATACTTTATTTGATTCAAAGTGTGTCATGCATCTTTGGTTTGAAAATGTCTTGAGTACTAAGCGTTGCTTTTCTATCTATCTATGTATAGAATTTTATATTTATTTGTATGCATAAACTCTAAACTACGAAGATTGATACTACATCACATGTTTTATTCGTCAAAACTTTTGTCATAAACAGAATTTTGTTCCAAAAACCGGGAATACGTTAAATCTCATGTTTCGGAGTAAGTCACCCCAACTTCTCCTTTACGAAAACTCTGTTCTGATAGCGCCAAGATTACAACCGTATATCGCTGTTCTATAAAAGATACACAGCCCAAACAGCTAACACGATCGATTGAATCAGCCTTGGCAGCGGCCTCGACAGATCGAAGAATTGGGCCATTTCATCAAAAACTAACAAATTCATAACCTGGAAGTATCATCTAGAAAATGATGTAGACAAATACCGAGAGGCATGAAGGGAATTTTCAAGTGTGCGCCAGATCTAGGGATCCCAGATCTAAAAGATCGAAATGAGAAAAAAAAGTTCAAAATCAGACAAAAATCAGAAAAACAAGTTGGAAGTCAGAAAAAAAATCAGAACGTTGTTTGTTCTCATACCCAAATGGTATTTTTTTACTGATAACCATTCTTTACGAAAAACACCTTTTATCCTTCGATGAGTGATTGGATTTTGTTTCTGTGTTACTACTACATGCTTTCCCTCTTCAATGGAATTCTGTTCATTATCACTATTAGCTGTCTCATTTAATTCTAAATTGACGTCATTCTCTACGTAGTTCGACGATTCAGTCATCAATTTTATTATAGCTTAAATATACAGTTCATTATATACAAAACTATTCTTCTTGAAGATCGTACCACACATTTGTTCAATGATTCTAAGGAAAAATGGAATTTTGTCCACTATCTGAAGATGGTGTCCTATCAACTAAAAAAAAATAAGCTTCCCATTTCGTGGAACAAGAATTTCAACTCCAATAAGTAGGTTCGAACCGCGAGACACTGCGCTACAAATATATACAAGTCTCCAGTCTCAACATATCATCGTTCAGGCACTACACAGGGCTTCCTGAGACATGTCCATTTCCTCTTTTTTGAAGTTTGGCAACCCTAAAAGTGAATGAAAGGCTTCCATCCAACTTTCATCCAGCTTTCCATCCACTTGTGCTTCCAATGGAAGCACAAGTTTTCGACCATGCCAAAGAGGCTATATTTATCTTGAAAAAAATTCAAAAACCTAGTGAAAATTGATTTTATGTCAGAAAGTATTTAATTTCGACTGCTATGCGTGTAATTTAACATGGAAACAGAAAAGGTTTTAAGGAAATGGTTTTTCAAACAGATTTCCAGAGAACCTTAAAACAAATGGCTTTCTTGGGTTTTTTATCCTAGTATCATGTGTATAATACAAAACTGTGTACGTTCTGAAATTTTCAAGTTTTTATGATCAATTTTGAGGGAATCATAAACTTTCAATATTAGGTGAAAATGGCCTCAAATGGGTTATTTCACATAAAATCAATTTTCACTAGGTTTTTGAATTTTTTCCAAGATAAATATAGCCTATAAATGACTCAGTTAAAGAATCTATGTACTCATCGAGTTCACCATAAAACTGTAGTTCACTATTATTAGATAGAACGATGATGATAGAAGATGATGTCATTTTTTGGATAGAACAAGTAATAAGATGTGAAAAGGATGTCACACACTGTATTTATACTATAAGTTGAAAAAATGATATGACAGAAAGTTCTCTAAATTCTCTTTCGTTTCCAGTTATTCAGTTCACATTCGTACATACACTAAACGATTGATAGCTTCTTTCTGTTTTTTCTTTTTCACTACTTATATTTTATTTCTCTTCGTTTTGTCACAAATATACGACGTATAGTACATATATTCTCTCGTCAGCTGCGTTTCTTACATTCTTTTTCCAGTTCATATAGAAATAACTATATAATTTATATACTTTATATACTACAAAGTAGAACAGAATAAAAATTTTTAGAAAAAAAAATTATAAATCAAATTTTCATTCAATATCAAACAAAGATTCTAAAATAAGAAAAAATTCCAAAAATAAGAAAATAAGAAACGAGGCAGAAAAAAGTCTCAAAATAAGACTTTTTCTGCTAAAATCAGACGATCTGGGATCCCTGGTTTGGTATATATTTTTCCTGCCACAGAACTATTTAGCCAACTTTGATTTGCACAAAGATAGATAGTTTGAGGTGCCTTTCATCCCATGCAGCCGAAAATAAATTTTCAAAGTTAGTTTAAATGGGCATAAAACCGCTCACAAAATAAGAGCCAAACGTTTTTTAGAAAACCAAAAAAACATTTTCCCATCCAAACATGAAAACACATGAGGCATTTTGTAGTGAATTTGATTCTCTGTCCGATTGCATAGTTTCCGAAATTTTTAATTTAAAACTTTTTAAATTTAAATTTTTTCTATAAAAATTTAACTTTAATTTGATTTTGTGTGTAGATTCATAATTAGAGCGAAAAACTGCGTCTAATGATGTATTTTTAAGCATTGCTCAAGTTAAAACAAAAACCCGAACCTTCGCATCCGAAAGTGGACCGTTATGCTGGCTACACTGCATCGTGATATATAAAAATAATCACAATTTCTTTCACATAGAAATTAGGAATAGTTTGTATTTAGAAAAATAAAGAATAGAAAGGCTACAAAATAAGCTGTAATACGTTGTTTTAAATCTTAAGTTTAATAGACTTATTGATATAATACCGATGGATTCAACTTGCGTGGACCATTTGTTCAGCAAACAAAGAAAAAGTTCAGTCAACTCTAGATTTCATTGATGCTCACTCGACTTAAGATCTATTACAAATGACCAGTTATTCGCTTTTTATACTTACTCTTATCTCGTTTGATGCCAGAATCTAATCAATTTCAGAAAAATACAAACATGGGTTATTTCCTATCGAAAATATTTTCTTTTGCTGCTGATCACTACTCTCGAAATTACTTACTACTCTCGTAGAGATTAGAGTTTCTTTTCTCATTATTATCAAAATCCTCGTACCGGTAAGTGCATCCAATCCAGGCATGTCGAGGAACGGTGCCTACCTAAAGGATGCTGTCGGATTAAAAAGGACGGGGGCGATTATTTGATGAAATCGGCCCCTGCTCGAGTTCCATCGAAACACACATGGTTAGATGCAGAATAAACAGGAGAACATTTCTAGCCACTCGACAGACCTTGGAGTTACTCTAAGAAAAAACTAGGTCGAATTTACCGTAACCAAAGTTCTCTTCTTCTTTCTTCAACGGTGACGATCCTGTGCTCCACACTTGACGACTAACCACGACGATACATATACCATTCGATAGAGAATTTCTCGCGCTACAATTTCATATATACAAAGTAGTGAAAAAAGTGTCCTAGGGCACCTTGCCATTAGAAATACTGTCTCGAAAGCCGTGAAAAGTGGGTGGCTTATTTCACGGTGACGATCCTGTGCTTCACACTTGTCCACTAACCACGACGATACATATACCATTCAATAGAGAATTTCACGAGCTTCAAGATGAGCGATAAACAAGTCTTTCAGAAA